GGGATTAAGTCCCTCATTGGGCTCTCTGCATGGATCTTGCTTCTCCCTTTGCTTATGTTTCTGCCTCTCTCTGTGTCTCAGGAATAAATAAATAAAATTTTTAAAAAATCCTATGCAAAGTAGTTACTCATTTCCAATAATCTTGATATCTAGACATAGCTTAAACTATGCTTTTCAGAATTCTAGTATTGATTAGAGCAGTTATCTGAAAACAGTATCCTTTTTAAAGAGAACATGCATAAAGATATTTGTAACCTTAGCAATACAAAATCTTAATACAAAATCTTAAATCATCCTTTAATGGGTTTTAATGCTTTAATCTTCAGAATTTATAGTCTCTCCAGAAATACTCTTGATATTATGCAGAAGAATAGTTTTTCCAGAACTACCTAAAAGTGGGCAAATAAAACCAATACAGAAGGAAGAGCTTAAAGGATCACATGCTTGAAATGGGAGATTCCCTAGACTCAGACTAGGGAACTGTCAGCTCTCAGGCATCCTCAGGGAATGTGATATGATAGCTGCCCAGATTTTTTCTTTTTCTTTTTTTTTTAAGATTTTATTTATTTATTCATGAGAGACAGAGAGAGAGAGAGAGAGAGAGAGAGAGAGAGAGAGAGAGAGCAGAGACACAGGCAGAGGGAGAAGCAGGCTTCATGCAGGGAGCCCGACATGGGACTCGATCCTGGGTCTCCAGGATCATGCCCTGGGCCAAAGGCAGCGCTAAACCGCTGAGCCACCTGGGCTGCCCTCCCAGATTTTTTCAATACAAGCATTTTCCTGAGTGTCACTAAATTTTGAGAGAAAAGAAGTATTACTGGGTCTCAAATAATTGAAACAATTTAAGTTAATGAAGTAAGTACAAAAAACTCAAAAGAACAGTATAGTTCACATGTAGAATTTCTTGAAGTGAGAAAAGCCACTATCAAGATTTTTCAAACTTGTGACCCGATTGTGTAACTTATTTCAAATTAGCAGAGTTAAGGAAACAATCTCAACAGAGTAAGGTTATGGTCCTGGTCTATCAAAAAAATGTTTATGAGTAGTCCTTAAAATTAAGATGTATAAATGAGGGAAAGAGGAATGTAGATAGTTATGTTTAGAGTATATATGAATGTAATAAAGATCCTTATGTCCCCAAAGACAGCCATTGACTTACAAGAGGACATTCATAAAAATATATACCTGTTTCTAGAATATTCAGCCTATTGGTATAAGGACAAGTCAAAGTCCAGTACCATGATTCAGGTATCTATATATATTCCTGAATATATATTATTCATATTTCATATATTCATATATATATGAAAATGCCCTTCATAGTTCAAGAAAAGAGGAACTCTTGCCTATAAATGAGCAATATAAATAGCCTTCTTGTTTTGTACCAGTTAACCTTTGTTTTTGTTTGGATAAAGGTTTTAGTTATGTGAATTTGCCATGATACCAGTGGGAAATCACTTAGGGCAAAGTGATTTTTCCCAGTATTTCAGAAAGCATTGGATTTTTAAAAAACAACCCACAGTTATATTTCTTTGCAATACTCTACCATGACTCTATGGGCTGATTACCCTCTTAGAAACTAAAATCTAAAAATGATACAGGTGAGAAAAGATAACTGAAATTTGCTGTATAAATGTTAGATCCTGTGATAGATGGACCTTAGCTGTCATCTGACATAGAGGCTGTAACATAGGGAACTGCACAATAGCTTCCTTGGTGAGGTGTAATATTCTTTTTATCTGAATTTTTTATCAAAGTTAGTAATTTTCTTTCACAAGCATCCTAGTCTCTAAGACTATCAACCTCAGTGGCCATCTTTTCTTCTTCTACTCTCACCTCTATTTTGAAAACCTGATTTGTTTTTCTGTCTATTTTGAGAATATCTGTAATAATCTGAATACTGGCATTTTCTCTGGGTTAGAAATGTGTTTTAATGAAGGCAACTTTAAGTTATAATGAACAGTCGTGTTTCCTGGATCTTATAGCAACTCCAAAAAGTTAATAGACTTACAAAATAAGAATTATTGCTATTATATATGTCTAATATATCTATTATATATTATATTGAAAATATTATTTAGATAATCTTAACAAAATGTGTAGGACTTATGAAAAATAGGCGATTGAACAGTGGTAAAAATAATAGTTTGTATTTCTTATATGTCTCCAAATTAGTTTATTTCACTTTTAATTTAATTGGTAATACTGGAATAAGACAAATGACTACATTCTGAAGTCTCTTCACCTTTGTGAAAAAAATATTCTGCTTCCTTAAATTTAGTTTCTTATCTGTTGGTAATGGAATTATGTGTAGTTTTTATTTTGCTAAATCTGAACCCCATATGCAACTGTATATCTTCAACTCAACGGTGTCTTAGTATTTCTGAGAATGCCTAGGGGTATCTGAAAAGGACTTAATACTAAATGCAATATTCAGATCCTGGTATATTTTTCTTGCATGTCTTTTCTGTTCTCTCTGTTGAATACTCCTTTTTCTTCCCATGCAGCATCCTTGATGCATTGGAACCCAAGAAGTTAGATCTTACAAAGGGGAAAGGAACTTTTATCTATTTTTGGTATCATCTTCTATTTGGGTGTCATTCGTGGGGTTTTATATACTATATAGTTTTTAGTGAAATAGTCAGGTTTTTTTTTAATTTTATTTATTTATGATAGGCACACAGTGAGAGAGAGAATGGCAGAGACACAGGCGAGGGAGAAGCAGGCTCCATGCACCGAGAGCCCAACGTGGGATTCGATCCCGGGTCCAGGATCGCGCCCTGGCCCAAAGGCAGGCGCTAAACCGCTGCGCCACCCAGGGATCCCCAAATAGTCAGTTTTTATGACAAGTCTGACCCTTCCCTCAGCTTGAAACTTAGCTGAGTCCAGTGTGGATAGATGTGAGCAACAGAGAATTATTGTCGCAGTTGCTCTTCCTCCCTTTTGATTGCAACTTAGTTACTAGATCAAGCTTATCCTGTCTGGATACCTCTTTTTTGATTAGGCTTTCTTTCTTAGGAGGCTCATTAGTGCATCAAGCAAAACTGCCCTGAACTTCTCATGTATTGTGAAATCTCAGATATGGGATTCCTCTCCTGCCTGTTTTATTTTGGAGTTGAATGGTTCCTTAGATATTTCTGATTTACTCTTGTATTTTATGTAAATAGCTAAAGTAACTAGTAGCCAGACCACCTGAATGAAAGTTTGATTGAGGTAAAGACTGTTTGAAATTGTTATGATAGTTATGATAAATGAGTAGAAAATGAGCAATGCAGTTTCAGATATGACCTACTGCTTGAAGCGCATAATAACCTTTGGAGATTTGGGGGCACTTATTGTGAGTGGTAATTTTTTTTCCACGGTGATAATAGCTTTTGGTAGAAAGGTTACAAGGATGTAAATATAATTATAGTTTTTTTTTATTTATTTATGATAGTCACAGAGAAAGAGAGAGAGAGAGAGGCGCAGAGACATAGGCAGAGGGAGAAGCAGGCTCCATGCACCGGGAGCCCGACGTGGGATTCGATCCCGGGTCTCCAGGATCGCGCCCTGGGCCAAAGGCAGGCGCCAAACCGCTGCGCCACCCAGGGATCCCTGTAAATATAATTATAAAACTGCATAGTGGTTTTCAAAATCAAACCATCTTGAACTTACAGATTAAACTGCCCAGCATATCTGAAACCTTAAAGTATTCCAGTCTACTATTCCTATGTGTAGCAGAAAACCGAGACAGATGGGAACCATGACTCCTTAGTCAATTCCGGGAAAAAGAGAAAGTTTTATCAGTGTTATCCCATCTTCCACATCATTTTTTCTTCCCTCCCTTTTGTCCTCAAAGATCTATATGCATTAATGTATTTAATGCCCCCCAAGATCTCTACTGTAAACCTGCCTTCTTTAGACATTACTTCTGTGCTACGGTACCATCATTTTATTCTGTCCCCTACTAAGAACAACTTTCTAGCAAATGGACATATTTAAAATATTTTAATAAATTTGTATTTCTTCCAGGAATGTTCCCCCCCCCAGGAATGTTTATTATACAGAGGGATATGGGGATTTGCTCTACGAAGTTCTGATGTTGAGATTTGGGATTGTTGGGATGGATTTGTGGGGCACTATGTGGGCAGTATTGTATTCTCATAGTCTATCACATCACACAAATGTGGTAGTACATCATAGGCTTTCTCCATGTAAAACTGTTGCTGTTCAGAACACACTGCAGTTGAGGACTGGATATTTATAAGAGAGAAATAAATATAAGATGAAGAAAAACATAGGATTTGGAGTCCAGACTCAACATCTCCCATTCTATGTTCTTAGACAAGTCCTGTTATTCTATTAATAAATAGAACATGTTTACTAACATCTCCCTTATTAGATTTAGTCAAGAGAAAATGTGAGCTATTACAAGTTTGGATACTTTATGGATTGTTACATGCTACATTGAAAATGGACCAGTTCTAGGAGTAAAAGATGTGATTTCCATACATACATGTGTAAATTGAAATCCCACATTAGGCACATAGCCATTTTATGAAATAATATACACATATACATATTTTCACATAAATTCTTTTATCTACAATAGTTATCTGTATTTATACTATGGTTATCAGTATAGTCTTATACTGAGACTTTTAGTTTATGCCACTTAGGGTAGAGTTTCAGAGGGATACATATAAAGAAGGGAGGCATCTTTAAATACTTCAAAACCTCCATACCCTAGTTGTCCTAGAATTTATTTTCTTCAATAAATGAATTTGGTTTCAAGCCATTTGGGCATAAATAAGTATATTCTGAGCAAGTAAATAATGTTATGGTCAAAAAGAAAACTGCACAAACACATTTTTGTAAGGCCTTGATGACAATTCCATAGTAAACCAGGTTGAAGCCATAAGGAAAATAAAAAAGATCAAAATCTGACAGTAATTTACATTTTATCAAGAGGCAAATCAAGCATTTTTAATCATGCCAGTATTTTTTATTATTATTCGTAGATGGGGTACACTGAAAGGAGCACAAGGACAGAAAGAAAAATTCTGGGTATGTAAGTCTTTCCAATTGACTTTCTACTGTGAAGTGAGTATTTTAGAATCATCTGGGTCTCTACTTACTGGGGGGTTTGTGTTATTTAGTCCTATCCTAAGTCACTGTAATATTGTTTGTAATAATAGTATTTTCTTCAGCAGAAAATTTTTATGATCATTTATATTATAGTAATACTTTTTCTCTTTCTTCTTATTTCAAATTATAGATAAAGAACTGGTATTTTTTAAAAAATATTTTATTTATTTATTCATGAGAAACACACAGAGAGAGGCAGAGACATAGGCAGAGGGAAAAACAGGCTTCCTGTGGGGAACCAGATGCGGGACTCGATCCCAGGACCCTGGGATCATGACCAGAGCCAAAGGCAGATGCTCAGCCACTAATCTACCCAGGTCCCCCAGAATTGGTATTTTTTTAAAGTGAAAATCAATAGGAAAGCATTTATTATCAGCTATATTAATGGTTAGACTTCTTTCATATGTCAATTTTGTGTTTTTACATTTTTTTTACTATGGATGATGACTTTATAATGTTATAATCAATTACACATATTGATATCATATATAATAAACATATATGTAAATATATGAATGTATTTACTCATGGTAAAGTGTTTTATTTTTGTTTTTGCTAATTATGGCATATATATGTTTCTCCAATGAGAAAGAAACAATGTCTAGTCTAAAAAATTAGAGAAAGTTAAAGAACAATTTATAGAAGATTGAAACATAGCACTTCAAATATTGTTAATTACAATGAACTTTGGTGAATTGTTCCAGGTCCTTATATTATGTATATTTTAATTTTAATTTCTGCAAAAACACAGAAATAAATGAATAAGTAATATATTCATTATGAAATCTGAATTTGAATAATGTAGTAGAAGGCATATTAAAACTTATAAAACTAAATATTAGGAGTGATACTCATCAGGGTGACTCTTGTTAATTAGATTTCTTCACGAGGCACTCACAGAAATCAATAAGCCAAGTACGTGGTCACCCCTTGTATCTATCTTGTTGATACACGGAAATATTTTGCTTTTAAGTAGAATGATGCTTCTTTGTATTTAGACTGAGCTCTCTTAAATATCATTATCTTCATTAGAATGAACCTTGCAGTAGCCAATAATTTAACATTAATGCTCAATAGTTAAAATTCATAATTTGTGGAAGAAGATATGTTGCTTGAGTACCTACAGTTAAGTTTCTGTATGGAATTTCTACTAGATGAGTTTAAACAGTTATTCAATATCATAATAATATAATATTTAGAGCCAAAACAAAGTCTTTTTTTTAAACAAAGTCTTTGATTAATGTATTGAACTTAAACTGTTTTTGACATGTAGTGCCTCATAGCTATTTGTGGAGTGAATATGAATGAAAGTGCACAAGAAAACTTTCTGTGACCCTCTCACTTTTGACTTCATTATTTCCACCCTAAAGCCTCATGGATGGTATACACACATGTACACCCACACATATACTGACTCACTCTCATATATTCAACACATATATGCATACTATCCTTTTAAATTATTTTGTTGCAATTACTATCAATTCTGAACTTACTACTTGTCAAAAATATCAGAGAAAACTGTATGTCATGGGCATACAGGTAGGATTTATTTCTGCTATGACTCTTTTAGATAAATTGTTTAATGTCAGTGGTAGGAATAAGAATTAGATGAAAAATTATCATATTTTATTAAGTTGCACATTTTGGCCGTTTTTTTTTTCCTCTAGTTAACTGTATCTTCATCTTGGGCCAGTATCATATCTACCTTAATTGTCACAGTATTCAAAGGACAAAGCAGAAGGACTGCCACATATTGGGAATATGCACAATACTTGTTGAATGAGTGAATGAATAGCATTAATCTGTGCATTCAGGAAAAAATTAGTCAAGTCACTAAAATAGTTTTCATTTTACATAAAATTAATATTTGGTTTAATTAAAATATGAAGTCCTTATATAGTACTACTGTACTGCCAAGAATTATGGAGGGTCTGATGTTATCCCACTTGAATTAAGGACGTGGGTCAGAAGAAGAGTACTTAACTGTTGGTCACATCCAGATCAAGAGCCAGATGTCACCGCATGGGTCCTCACACTTCAGTCTTGCAGTGATAAGAGGCAACAATCTTTTTCCATACAGGTAGCACCTTATGATACCTCATAAATGAGGCACAGAGAACAACGAACTTTCTCCATTGTTTTATATATATGTATATATGTGTGTGTATTTATCTATGTCATATATGTATATGACAAACAACCTCCTTCAAGGAGAAAAACAAATATTCCATTAAGATGGGGTGGAAAGGATCTTGTGTTCTTATCCTTATGCTTAGTAATATAAATATGTCTTTCCAAGGGCCAGATAATGACTTCAGATAATGACACAGATAATGTCTTCAAACACTGAACTTCATCCTTTCTAACATATAAATACCAAAGGAGATAATGTTCCAATACTCCTGGCACCATGGGCTTAATTTAGGACCTTGTCTGGCCCTGACTCTTTGACCCTCTTGGGGAGATAAGAGAAGTTTTATTATCCTTTTGGATCAGATCAATTAACTAGACAAATGGCTACAGATCTAATTCTTATTGAATGTGAAGATAAAATATTTCTGGCAGAAAGGAAAACAAATATGCTCTATCTCTAATATCATATACACTTTTTGTGTGTCAGGAGATTAGTTTTTTTTTTTTTTTAGGAGATTAGTTTTTTGCAAGAGCACTGAGAAGTTCAGAGAAGTTTTATGTCCCCACAATTATATATGAATGTTTTAAAATATTTACAAGTAGGCCTACAATATTGTAAATTGTAAAAAAAAAATAAAAAAAATAAAAAAGAATAACTTCCATTACTAAATAAAATGTAATACATAACAAAAGCCATATATTCCACTAAATAAATTGAAAATACCAGAATTAATTTTCAAAACTCATATATATTTTTTAAGATTTTATTTATTTATTCATGAGAGACACAGAGAGAGAGAGGCAGAGACAGGCAGAGAGAGGCAGAGAGAGAGAAGCACTTTCTCGGCAGGGAGCCTGATATGAGACTCAATCCCAGGACTCCAGGATCATGACCTGAGCCAAAGGCAGACACTCAACCACTGAGCCACCCAGGTACCCCTCCAAACTCATGTTTTTAAAGAAATGGGAAAGCTGAATCTGAAGAAGATTTTCTGTTCTGTGAGCATTTGGTAGGTGTGGGCACAAGCTGAAGATTACATTTGAAATATGCAGAGAGAGAGGGAGACCTCTAGGAGAAAGAGAATCCAGCTGGATTTGGATTTAGAGGAACCAGAAACACACAGCTATCTCTTCTTATGGAATATTTATTGAATATGAACAGTGTGAGTAGCTGAGGAGGGGGATGAAAAGGCAGAGTGAAATCTGCAGTCTTGAAGAATCTGCAGGAGGAGTCACACTGGAAGACAGAGTTAGTGGTCTCAAATAAAATTCAATAAAATATATCCAACTTGTATACAGAGAAAAACATAATGAAAAAACAAAAGCAAATTCAGAAAAATGTAAATACAATCAATGATAGTACCTAATCAAATGGTAGTACCACCATTGATTGTTTTTACATTGTTCTAAATCAAATGGTTTAACATATATTTAATTGTATTCTCAGTAGGATTAAGAGAGAGAATGAGCCAGAATCAATTTTTAAAAACACGATGGCCAATAGTTTTCCAAAACTGAAGGACATCAACCCAAAGATTTAGAAAGCTCAATAAACTTCATGAAGGAGAAGTCAAGAAAACCACATCCAAGCATTTCATAATCAAATAGTTGAAAATAAAAGATAAAGTGAGGGCAGCCCCGGTGGCGCAGCCGTTTAGCGCCGCCTGCAGCCCAGGGCGTGATCCTGGAGACCCCAGATCGAGTCCCGCGTCGGGCTCCCTGCATGGAGCCTGCTTCTCCCTTTGCCTGTGTCTCTGCCTCTCTCTCTCTCTCTCGCTCTCTGAATGAATAAATAAATAAATCTTAAAAAAAAGTCAAAAAATAAAAGATAAAGTGAAAAATTTAAAAATAGCCACTGTATTTAAAAGGATATAGGATATTATTCAGCCAGAAAGAAGAAATCCTGCCATTTGCACAACATGGATGAACCTCAAGGGCATTGGGAAATAAAGTCAGACAAAGAAAGACAAATACTATACAATCTCACTTATATGTAGTAACTAAAGCAAACCAGTAAAACCTCAAATTCATAGAAAAAGAGATAAGATTTGTGATTATTAGAGGCAGGGGTTGAGGGCAATAAGAATAGGAGAAGGGGGGTCAAAGGTAAAAAGTTCCAGTTACAAGATAAATAAGTTCTAAGGATATAATAAACAGTCTGATAACTACAGTGAACAATGATGTATGTTATGTATGACAGTTTTGACAGTTGTTAAGACAGTAAATCCTGAGCATTCTTGTCAGGAAATTTCTTGCCTTTTTTTTTTTTTTATCTTTCTTGCATCTGTATCAGGTGATGGACGCTAACTGAAATTATTGTGGTAATCATTTTACAATATATGTAAGTCAAGAGGCTAGAGGAATAGGTTGATATCACAAAATAAATAACCTGGATTTAAAGCACAGGAGGTAGTCACTTGTTTTACCATAAAGAAACCTCTGAATTTCAAGTAAGAAGGGAGAATCTTTACAATAAGCAATTCTAGAGCAGGGGTTAGCAGTTTGTTGGTTTGTTTGTCTTTTCTGTAAATGGCCAGGTAGTAAATGGTTTAAATATGGGGGGGGGGTGGGATCACAGAAGTCTCTGTCACATATTCTATTTTAGTTGTTTCACAACTCTTTAAGGAAAAAAATCAAAATAAAACTAAATACTCAGCTCATGATCTGTACCAAAACGTTACTGGCCAGATTTGTCCATGAGCCATAGTTTGTCAATGCCTTAGCTAAAGCAACTTTATATTCATGTGGAAAAAAAACTGAACCTTGGTCCCCTAACTCAAAAA